CGACTGCTTTTCCATTTTTCATATCTTGAAGCGCCTTTTCTACTTCTCCCACGAGAAACTCTGGGGCGGCGCCGGCGTCTTGTAGTAGGGGCAGTCTTTCTTCTTGGTGTGTGTTTTCTGGGGCTTTATACAGGGTGTCCCAGAAATAAGTGCAAATATTTTAACTGGTAGTATAATTCAACCCCAGAAACACGCCTATGAAGTTTTTTTCGCGAAAAAAAAATTTGAAAATTCGAAATTTTTTGAAAACTTTTTTGGATTTTTTTTTTTAGTTTTTAGTTACAAAAACACAATTTTTTAATAATATGGCAACATAGGTATTAGATTAAATTTACAAGAAAGAAAATCCAGTAAAGATACAGTGGTTCTCACAATTTTAGCAAAAAATCATTTTTTTGAAATTTTCAAAGTAAAATAACTCTGTTATTTTGGACCCTTTTGAAAAACGATAAAGAGAAAATATGTTTCTTTTATCGAGATCTACCACCCCTTAAAATATTTGCACTTATTTCTGGGACACCCTGTAGGTCGCTATAGAATTTTGTTACCAGGCTTATTATTTCGTTTTTGTCTGTTATTCTGATGTTCTTAACACGCATAACACAACACATTAATATATGTATGTATAATTTAAATTATTTAAAAATGTGTACAAAATGAACTAGAAATTGAAATATCAAACATCATCTCCTAGGAACTAAATATGCTAATAACATTAAATAACTATAAATTCTGTACTGGTAGGCCAACACGGTTATCAAATAATATTTTTTTTAATAAAATAGTTATTAGTGTTAGTACTGATCCCTAATTGTTGAAAACGTAAGTTTTAATGTATGTATACAAATCTCTACCCAAATTAGCTTACAGATAATAAATTAACTCTTAAAAATATACGCTTGTTTAATAAAATATGTTTTCTGAAAAATTTTAAGAAATAGACAGCAATTTTCTTAATTCTTTTCTCTTTTTGGCCTCACATAAATCATTCGTGATATTATCTTCACGGACATATTTGTTTATACAATTTTAAAGGATCGGAGTTCATGGTTTTTCAATGTAAAGTAGGCCAAATTATTTATAATTTGAATAAAAAAACTAGTTCCGGCGGATAATTTATGTTACAGGCAAGGTAATTCCAAGATAATTGATACTAAGGAACTGCGTTATATGTAAAATAAAAAAACTTATGAGAATCTGTAAAAATCATGATCTTTTAAACTTGTTTATCTCATAAAATCATAAAATGCACTACCTTGGCTTCACTCAAAATCAGGACCTTCAACAGTTTCCAGGTAAAGGTAAATATAATTATACCTTATTTTTTTAGTCGACATGATATATTGTTGCTTTTTATAGAAATTCCTTAACATTTTTAAGTATAAACGTTAAATTATAAAAAAACGAAGTAGGTAAATCATATTTGCCTACTTCCAATTTTCCTTGAACTTTATATCTAATATACCTAATTTCAAACATATTAAATATATATTTTTAATTAAGTTTATAAGACACTATGTAAAAATAAGTGTATTAGGTGACCCAGTTGATAATTTGTTTTCATAAAATATAAACAATTTTAGTAGATAAGTTTCTGGTAATTCCATTCATACTGCATAGCTGCCGGTGAACATCATTATGAAATTAAAGAATCATGGAAGTATCAGTTTGGTGTTTAGCATTTATCTGTATTTATATAATTAAATTTACTTTATGAAGTTTCAAATGTGTTTATAATAAGGTTAATTGTCATGACATAAAACACTATTTCGCCGGATTATTTCTTAATTATATCTTATAGTCCCAAGAATACATATAATATGTACAATGTACAATGTACAATGTGTTTTGGTGTATTGTGGTGAATTAGTGTTTTATTAAGCCGATAGAGGTTAAAAAAGCAATATAATTATTGTATAAAACGCATTTAAATATTAACACCTATTCAAACTATTCATTTGATGTTAAAAAGCAGTTAAATGTGAATTAATAGTTCAATTTGAACACGAGAACATGCAAAACAAGAAAGGAGCATGCATGACTAGCCTATTCGTCATCTATCTCATTGCTAGAAAAATACCCAAATACCATACAAATAAAATGAATAAAATAAAGTTGGCTGGATTTTTCTATAAATATTGTATTTCAAAAAAAAAATGTTAATAATAATTATAACAGTATTCATAACGAGCTTGCCAACTTACGATCATTTGCATGAAATTCTGTATCTACCTAGATATTCGCTAATCTTATGTAACAAGTCGGATTCTGATATCCGATCAAACTCAATTTTCAATTTAATATCCAATATGCTGATGAAGATAACTGGATATACATTCTTTGGTATTGTTCAATCTTTTTATAATTTTATGTTTGCTATTACATATTGCAAATTTAGAAATCGTTCACCCTACTGATTTTTTTATAAATTGATTTAATATTATTCAAGTTTATTAAAAAATACATTCAGAAACCATAAATAGGTAGAGTACTTCAAATCGAAACCTTTGACATTTAGCTATTTTATGTTCTTCTAATATTCTTCATTAAAAAATAAAAACAGTTTAGTGCAAAGTTGTCGGAAATATTTGGAGTAGTTCTTTAATATTGGCATAAACAACTTTATCCAAAAATACCTTTATTTTTGTGACAAACCCCTTAATATTTAATCAATTACCTATTTACAGAATTTTTTAATTTAATATTATGGAGCGAACATGTTTCAAACGACCAAGTGTTTGGTTTTGTTTAAAACTTGAAGACTGAAGCTGAGATAGAGAGCGAAGAAGAGCTTTTAAGTTTGGGGTACGCAACGTAAAACTTCATACTTAAACCACGTGCTTAAGGGTCAGCAATACTTTTTTCATTCAACTCATTCTCCAATGAAAAATCTAGGGGAAACGCAAACCGGAACGGTAAGCAGCATTTATGGTTTCGGAACAGTGTCCATATTTTGCCATGCAGAGAATAACACTCTTGTACTCCACTAAAGATGGATAAGGCAGAGAAGAAGAGAATGGAACCAGCATGTCAATAGAATGGGCCCCGACAGAATGGCCATAATAATTCGCAACAACATACCCCATGGCAGAAGACCTACTGGACGACCACCTAAACGTTGGCAAGACAGTTGGCAGTAAACCTCGCAAGAGTTGCTTAGACGAGGAGGAAACCGGAACTAAACAGGCGATACGCCTTCTATCTCTAAAAGAAGAAGAAGAAGAAGAAGAAGTACTCCACTAATGATTAAGGGTGAATATAATATGTGATGAGTATGCACAAGGGAAGAGAAGAAGAAGATGTGCATGACAAAAATAATAAAAATATCAACTCTTAATTCTTATGTCCCATTTTGTTGTAAATCTTGCTTAACATGGGCTGGCCAAATATCTTCTTTACGGTGAGCTTGTAGAGGAGGGAAACCAGGTGGACAACTCAAAAGGTACAGGGATATTTTTCTTGAAAACTATCATATCTATTTAAAGGGGATAAGCATGCAGAATTAGTGGAAGAAAGCGGCGCACAATAGAACGCAGTGGAGAAGAATTGTGAACTCAGTTAACAACGACAACCAAAAAGTAAAGAGGCAACAAAGTACCTAATGAGGTATGCGGTACCCTATATGGTACCAATATGGAGTTTCAGTCATAGAAAGCTCATGAAAGAAAACGCCTTGCGTAACCATCTTCTGATGCGTATCAAAACTATCAAATACTCGTCAGCGAATAATGGCAATGAATGAACGAATGAGATATATTCCAATTCTATTAATTTATATTAAAAATTCAATTTAATAAAATTTTTGAAATCTAAACTTCCACTAATATAACTTCTTAAAAGAAAACAGCAGCTATGGTTTCAAACGCAAGTATCCTAAACAACTTAGTACGTAGGCATCTATTTGGTCAGGGTCGCTATTGAAAACTACAGAAAGAATTTTAGAAATAAATTCAGATCGTTCTGTTAGACTAGCTTTTATTATGTTCTAAATTACTATCCCAGCAATTATTATTTTTCTCATAAAACATTTCTAAATGATAACGAGTAATCATCAGTTCTAAAAAAAAAGAATATTTTTATAAAAAGACCGATTGACCTATTTTTATAATGAATTATTTTTTTATAAAATTGTTAATAAGTAGAAGATTATTATTAATTTTATGAACAGAACTGGAAATATAACAATACTTTTAGATATCAAGCACAAAAAGGATAATATAACACACTAAATAATTAGAAACAGTAACAAAGATGATTAAGTGAAGTTAATGAAATGTGTATTATTAAATAAAATAAAAAAACTTATGTTTCTTTTACGGATACTTTGCCTTTGTACGATTTAATTCCCATTAAGTTCATGAAATATACTCTTAAAGAATCTTAAAGAAGAACCAAAAAGACATTTTTATTTTAAAGTTTGTATAAAAATTTAAAAAAATAGTTATGCTATATATTTTCCATCCTAATAGCAAACATATAACTTTGATTCGTTATCGTAAATACCACTGAAGAATAAAAATAAATAAGATTAATTTTAGAAAAAATATCGTAATATCTAAGTAGTTTGGTTTGGTTTCGAAAAATTAATTAACATTTTTATACACATAGTTAGCAGCAAGTATGCCATTACTAAACGGAAACCAAATAAAACATACTATTTTACTGTTTTAATTAGTAAGTTCTATCAATATCTTATCCATGCAATTATTTACCTAGCCTTCCTGTTTTGTATCATTGGAAAAATTTTGTTTTTTTTTGTAAAAAATGTAAATAAGAAGCGACAAAAAATCTGGGTAGTCTGGGTATACCGAAGGTTGTGTACAATTTTTAAACTACCATATTAGTAGAATTATTCCAAATAACTATCCTAATACAGAAATTATGAAAAAAATAATGCAATGAATTTTTATTGCAGTATGTTATTGATATATTTGTTTTATTATATGTACTTATTTATTTGATTATTTATGTTTTAATTTCATACTATTCGAAAAACTTACCATTTTTCCATTTTACACTCAGCCAAACATTTTCGAATTCGATATCCAAGTTTCTTGACTTTTTGTAGCAGTTTAACAGTTGTTTCTCCATGGCAAAAAAATCACATAAATAACCTTAGTTTGCGAATCGACAAAACGTACACTTTTACTAATGATGGTCCAGCGCACCGATGTGTCCGTGTTGTGCAGAAATAAACAACAAACAACTACAACTGAACTGGAGCCAGTTTCAAACTTGGCAAACAAAATAAAGCATCACAATGCGCTCTTCAGCTTATTGGCGGCATCTATATTTTCCACCGATGCAGCGCGCACACGCGATAGAACGCGGAAAAAATCGGACCAGTCTTGGCGGTCAGTGCTATCCGTACGAATATGATGCTTTAAAAGGAGGGTCAACCAACTAATACAAAAAGGGGCTACATAAGAGGATAGTAAATCTAAATAACACAGGGTAATTTCATTATCAATTATATTTTTGGTAATTATTGGAAAACTGAAAATCGTCATATATTCATAAAAATTTGTATAGGTTATAGGGTGTAGTTATTATACAGGGTGTCCCAATATTCCGTGGACATAGAACTACTACGTATTTTTCGAATGAAAATAAGTTCATTGGATATACCATTCAACTCCATATAGGAAGTGCTTCGGATGCCCGTTAAGGTGCGTCCACATTGCTTGTGATCCTGCTCGCGCTCTTGCTTCTGATTGTGCTTGCGTTGCTTGCGCTTCCTGTTTGTCGTGTTTGTCAAGATCTTTCGGCTCGCAAGCAACGACGTCCTCATTGTAATGTACTTAGTGCTTGCGTTCTTGCTATTCGGACATGGATGATACCAAAGTATTTTTAATAGCGGCTGCTAGTGCGATCGTTATTGCAAAACGAAGGAGACAAAGAGAAAAAAGGCGGTGTTGGATGTCTAATAATTTCAAAAGTAAATCCCAGCACAGCGAATGTTTGAAAAAAAAAATGTTTTTTAATATTTTTTATCGCATATCCGTTACTGATTTTGAAAGACTTATTAACTTGGTTGGCCCTCGTATAGAAAGGAAAAATACAACTTTTAGGACGTGTATTCTGGTTAAAGAAAGAGTTAAATAAAGATTGGCCATAACATTAAGATTCTTTGCAACTAGAGACTCACATACCAGTTTGGGTTATTTATTCAAAGTTCCAATCAAAGCATTTCAAAAATAATACCAGGCGTATGCCAAAATATAAACAAAGTTCTCAAAGATTAAAATATAAGTAAGCGATATAAATATAGAGTTATATTTTATTAAAGGTATATTTAATATTATTAATCCAAGAACAAAACACAAATATTTGTAATTCTCAACAAAACAAAGTAAGAAAAATCATGGTGGTATCATAATCCTGCAGTAAATACCAAATCCTATGAATGAAATCAAACTAAAAATTTAACAAACAACACAAACAGCTCGAGCTCTTCGGATCGCCGCAAAGTATGCTCGCATGGCTCCGAAGCGTCCCTTTGTTGTAGCGCGATGTTCGTTCATTGCTCTCGAGCAGTGTGGACGCAGCTTTAGAGGTGTTCTGATTTTTAAAGTTTGAAGCCCAAACAAACTAAAAATAAACACATTTTTTCAGTTATTTTAACAACCATCATTCCGATTTGAGTAAAATTTTGGGGGTCTATATTTTGCCAAGTGCTTTGACATTTAACTTTCACAAAAAATAAGAAAAAGTACGGGAAGGATGGAGCCTACCATCTACCCCTACCCCAACTTAAATTTTAGTATATATTTTTCAACTCAACCGACGACTAATTTTTTTGTAAACTGATCTTTCTAGCATTTACTATATTTTTTGTATCTTGTGAAAAACGCGAAAAAAATATTTTGCGAGGCTGACTTCCAAAGAATGTTTTTGTCTCATCAAGCTATGGAGGGATATAAAATCTATTATGCTCTAATAATCTAGTTGGCGAAAATATGGAATTTTATATTCGTATCACAAATTATATTCGACAATAAGTTTCATAAAAAGCTTAAAAAAATAATTAATTTTAAATTAATTAAAGTTTGGGTTACTTTTTGATTGATGCACTCCAACAGTCTAACTTTTGTATATGTAAAGGTCAAGTATGTGCAATTAACTTTATTTGATTCAAAAATTACGTAGTTGTTCTATGTCCAAGTATTGGAACTCCCTGTATATTTTGTGGTTTACTTTGAAAAAATAAATTCTCCAAAAAAATTTCTCAAAAACTATGCTATATGGGGTTTTTTTAGAAGAGACAAAAAATTGTAGTAAATACTAAAGGGACCATTTTACGAAAAAGAAAATCTGTCATCGGTGGAGTCTGAAAATATTTATACTAAAATTTATGTAGGGGTGGGGGTAGTTTTCACCCTTCCCGTTCTGTTTCTTAATGTTTGTTAAGCCAATTGATAAAGCACATAGCAAAATATAGACACCCAAAAGCTCTTTCAAATCGGAATATCGGTTCTTAAAATATCTGAATAAGTGCGTCTATTTTTTTAAAGTTTGATGCCCTCTATCGGACAAACGCTCAATATAAAGTATAACTAGCACTTTTGTATAAAGGTAAATTGTGCCCAATAAACTTATTTCGATTCCAAAAATACGTAATAGTTCTATGTCCACGGAATATTGGGACGCCCTGTATAATATTACCTACACCCCAGTTTCATGTCATAGATCATGAATCTGAACTTTTGTTTGGTGGTCTCTTACCGTTTTTCAGAAAAATCCAAAAATATAACAGTTTTATTTAAAAAAAAATCACCCAATTTACAATTTACAAATATTTGATTACTTTTAAATTATAACATTTTTAACAAATTCTACAAGGTGTTTCAAAATCATGTCCAATGTCCATCTCTTGTGGGGAGATTCCTGACGTAAAAATAGGATTTATTTTTTATATTAACATAGGTTCGATTTTGTTTTGTTTCACTACAGGGGGTTAAAATCTCTTTTTTCCAATTTATTATAATTTTCTTCCAAGTGATTTTAGCGGTTCCAACGAAATTTTGAGGGTAAAAGTTAATATAAGCGTTACATATTTTGATGCTAAAAAATGGTCGACAGATTCACCAGTGATGTGCTGATGAGTTGTAACTGGAATTTTTTTAAAACATTTGCGCCACTGACTTTTTTCTCTTGTTAGCAAATTTGTTTAGGGCGTTTAATGCCGATTAAAAGTTCTATCTTGATATTTTGTCGATTTCGATCTCCATGATGAGTTAGAGGCAATTTTATTTAACACAATTAGTAAAATTAAAGTAAAAATAATAAATTATTTATTTAATCTAAGTTATTATTAAATTTTATTAAAATTTATGTTTTAAAAATTATAACACTGATCTTCAGTGCTACCTATAGCAAATTTAAAAAATGTTTTAAAATATATAAAGAGAGATTTTAGGGTAAAAGTATTTAAGATAATTACAAAATACCTTTTTTGAAATTTTAACAACCTCTAACTTAAAAACTTTTTCATTTTTTTTATGAGGAATCAATGTGAACTACACTTTGACCAGTTAATGACATTGACATTTTTTGAAGGTTGCTAATAGACGTGGATTAAGGCGAATTAATAAAATTACATTTATCTCATCAAGGAGACTGAAACCGACAAAATTCAAGAAACAACTTTTTAATCAGCATTAAACGTTCTATAGGTACAATTTTGCTAGGAAGAGAAAAAGCTTCAGTGGCGCACATGTTTTTATTAGAAAAATATTCCAGTCATAACTTCCAATAACACCCGAGACAAAATTGTTTATTTATCTCTAAAACAGCGCCGTACAAGAGGGTTAATAAAACAAGGCAAAATTAAATAAAAATAAGAATTTCAATTGTTTCTGTCTCTCTCACACACACACACATAAATATTTATTCTTCAGACGATTACAAAATTTAATGTATTAATTACTTTTAGGTTTATTAGACGTATTTAGTTATGAATAATTTTTATTTATTTATATTTGATAAATTTGTGGCTTACGCCTATGGTGAATGCTGCTCTTTTAACGTATTAAAAGGTTGTTAGCACAGATCCTAGTATAATAGAAAAATAATTTTGAAATTCAATAAACAAAAACGCTAAAAAAGTTTAGTGCAGAAAAATAACAAAATTATTTTAAGCGTAATTCCTGGCTCTTTCTTATTGTTGCGGCTTTTACAGTTCAAAGCTGAATTTTGTAATAAAGTTTATACAAACTTCACTATACACAACAAACGATTAATAATCGCTAAAATTGTCGCTGGTGACATATACAGTGTAAGTCTTAAATAAGTGCAGTGAGCATTTTATTCCTTTAAGGGAAATGTGTTCTAGGTGACGTCGTTGTTACGTTACCAGGCCCTTCTTGTGCCTGATAAAGACCAATAAAATGCAGATAGGTAACTGTTCCCTAATGTTCCCTAAATGTGACAACACTTAAAACTTTGCTCACTGGGAACGTTTACCTTTTTTAAATAGCTACAAAATAAATCAGAATCGGACCTATATGTTGATATACAAAATAAATCTTATTTTTATGTGAGGAAAATCTCCCCACGAGAGATGGCACATGTTGTTTGACAACACCCTATCCACGTAAAACAGGAAAATGCAAAAACAAATTGGTAACCAATCCGAATATATTAAGTAACGTGTTAGTGACATTTAAGGCCATGTTGCAATTCAATCTAATGCCATATCTAAATATGGCGGGTACCCAGGTGCCGAGATTAATATAGAGAAGAAAATTATTTTCCGCAAAAAGCAAAATAACAAACCAAAACAAACCCAATTTATTTACCTTACTACTCTTTTATATCACAGATTTTTTCTTTTCATTCGTAATAATAATATAATTTCTAACAGGGACACTATTTTTTGTAGTTTTTTTTACGGAGATTATGCCTATCTTCCTTGAGAACTCGGTAACGTATTTAAGCATTTTGGTGGGCCATACTTGATTAGCTCTGCATTTGTCTCCACTTGGTGCAAGATATTTTTTAATTTTCTTCCTTTTACGGCTTGTATTATCTGTGCGATGGGTAGCTGGGTAATTTCTTCTAAAATAGTGAGTTGTTCTTTCAGAAAATGTATCCCAGCCTCTATCAATTGTTGAAGAGGATTGTTTATCTGATATAGTAGTTACAAGATGTTCGTTTTATCTTTTCCAGACGTCGGAGCATCTTGCGTCTCCTATTTGCCTGTCAATACATTTATCCTTGTTTTCCTAGATTTTCTTTTTCTTTTTAATGTTTATCACGTGTTTCGCTTTCCTATTTAGT